ATAGCATATTGTAGCAGAAAACTAATTTAAGAGTAGTAGACAAAAAGCCGTCATATATGGCAAGCTCAGCTTCCAAGGAGGTAGGAAATTAAATGCTTTCCAGAGCTCCCGGAATAAGACCTACATATTTTGGGACATGTGCAGAGAAGAAAAGATCATTGAATTTGCTGGTGATACTAAAATTGAAGTCTTAGCAAATAATAAGGTGCAATATTATTAGATTGAAAAGGCTTTGAATTGTGGGTGATTAAGGCAGAGGATGCCAAATGCAGTTCAGGTAAAAAGATACAAACTAATAAGTGCAGGATCAAGGAGCCAATTATGCAGAACATACATCCAGAAAAGGATTTGAAGGGTATTGTGGGAAAATCTGCAAAACCATCAGCATAGAGTACAACTGCATTAGGAAAAGCAACCTGGATTTACTAGGTTATCTCATCAAAGGGGAAGAAGATGAGAAGAGAGAGTGATACTATACCTTGTAAGGCATTAACTTGATTCCTATTTTGAATACACTGTCCACTGCTGGACTAAAAACAGAAAAAAAAAAGACTTAGTTTGGGGATGGGGAATACAGTAAAGAGAAATATTTAATTGGGAAACTATTTCCATTTTAGCCTCAATGGGAAATAGAGGATTTCACAGCAGAGGTTTTAAAAATTGGTTGTTCTCAGGAAAATTTTTGAAATGTGAAAAATGGTGAACAAATTATTCTTTAGATGCAGGCATTGTTCTAACGATAGGCTCAAATATTCTTTGAAGGACTCAACTAAAAGTTTACTCTACTACCGATGTGTTAGTAAGTGCATATAAAGGCAAAATTCAGCCCCAGGGTTAATACAGGGGAACTGGAGCAGAACTATTTAATGCTACATGCAAGGAAAAATAAACACCAGGAAAAGCTGGGGAAGTAGAAGTGCAAATGAATTGAATAGACACTTAAACTTATTTTTGGTGAAGAAGGTATTTAAAAATCACTGTTAAAAAAAAATCACAGGGAAGAGCAAGTGAGAACCAATTTTAAATGACCAGTTTTGACAAGCAAAATTCTCCTAATTGCAAAACCTTCACATATAAGCTGGAATGTACTTATGTAAACAAGCCTTGAAGTTTTCCACTTATTTATATTTGTGTGCATTGGTGATCTGATTCTGCCACAGGGAATGTGGATCCATTTTAATATAAGCGCAGTGTATGCCAATTTCACAAGGCTCAAGCTAACATTCTGATTAACATGGTCCGCCGGATTCAGTAGGTATGAGGAAAGCAAGGACTTCTGGCTGCAGCCATTGGCACACAGAGTAAAGTTAAAGCAGAGGTGATTTCACTGATCATGTAGGATTTAAAAGTAATTTTTATCTAAAATATGTGGATGAGAAAAGTAAAATATTGAGACTTGTTTACTCTTTGATACTGTTATGTGGTTATCTCAGTTCTCCACTTTGCTTTGCATAGTAAAGTATCACAAACATTTCTTGCTGGAAGGGACCTTAAGAATCACCCAGTACAATCCTCTTAAATTACAGATAAGGCAAATGAGAAACAGAGGGATTAAGAAATTTACCAAAACTTTAAACGGTGGTTAGAACGAAGCCCCAAACTAGATTCTTTATTTCTAATTTAGCATTTTAACATTCAAAATTGTGGTATCCTAAATGTATAAAACGAGTTGCCAGGATTATGCTGTTATTGCTGCAATTATATTTTATTTGCATCTTTTTAAATATTTTCATTTTTAAATTTATATTTTCATTTTTCAGAGAGGAAAATCTAGAATTTCTTGCAGGTTGGCAGTGTAGGAGCCAATTGGGCAGCAATACAAAGGTCAAGAAGTCCACATCATCTCCAGGACAGGAAGAGTGATCCCTGACAATTAGCTGGGAGAAGATGTACCAGTACTGGAGAAGGCACCGTCCCTCATGCACAGAGACATGCCACAGGTCACACAACACTGGCGGGAGTCCAAACCACTTTGTGCCTAGTAGCAACTTTACTGCGACCTACTATAACTTGGGCAAGTTAAGTCTTCCTGGATTTTGTTTCTCTTTAAATGAGAGGATAAGATTAGGCGGGCTACAAATTTCCTAAAGATTTAAGATTCTAGCATATAGTTACAGTAGGGATGCCCACACAGTAAGCAGAGAATGAGGGGGCAGAGAGTGACATTGGTGTGTGGTCAAATTTACATTTGAATGTTCTTTAGAGGGGGGCATCCATTGAAAATCATCATACAAATTCTCAATAAATTCAGCACTGCTAGTTTTTTTCATTCTGAAACAGACTGTATTTGGGGAGGGAGGAGGGTGAGCATCACATAAAAGAGATATTTTGCATTTAGGAGCAATGATATATATATATAAAATAAGTGCTACAGCATTAAAACATAATCACACTTAGTGTTGAAAGATGCTTACCTTATGAGAAAAAAATCCATGCTCCTGACATCAGCTGAAGGAGCATCTCTCACAAGACCCGGGAAGTGGAAGTATGGATCCAATGTTATTACAGCAAGTGAAACCACCTTGCATAGATTAAAACATGTGTGCAACTCCTCATTAGAACAGATTTTTAAAAAAATTATTTCTCAAGGGTTTCCTCCTTTGACCTAATGGGTTTACCCTACTGCTCACCTATTAACTGTCAATCTCCTGCCAAAAAGTCTCTAATCTTGTTAAAAATCTTTAAAGTATTAATATCAAAATATCATATGTGGATTTACATAATTACTCTTCCAACAGAAAGACTCTGTACTTATAGAAATCTTCATACATATTATTTGTTATACATGCCAGGAGAACTTAGTTTGTACTAATTCTGTTTGTACTGTTCCATTATTCAGATAACACTGGGTTATACAGTTAAAGCAGGATAAGAGGAGTGGAATTTTGCAAATGGCATTTTATTTTTGGTACTGGAGTATGAGCAGCCACAGCCTAGTCTTAACTTCAAACTTCACACTGTATCGTAAGGTAGTCTTTGGAGTTGAGATTGCCTGCAGGGTCTGTTTTCTGAGTGTGCTTTGAGAGTATAGTGATATAATATTAAATTATTTTGTACCAGAAATGTATAGACATTTTAGGGTATGTCTACCACCAGGCAAGTGACAGTGGGAACCACAATTTATTCTACAATAGTTTAGAAGGTTGATAAAGCATTTTCATAAAACGTTTGATTCTTTGTGCTTTCCAAACACAGTAAGCAAAAATTAAATAATGTAGTAGGGACCCAAAGAAACAGCTTTAATTGCACACACCCCCCGCCCCATTTCAGGAGTTCTTAGAAGACAAACCTTTCAGAACTAGTTTCTACTAATGACAGTGTAATTGCTGATATGTAGTCTCCTTTACTTTCTTGCTATTTTTTCTTGTAATTTATTTGTAAAAGGTGATGTTTCGATATTTCCTGAGGGATTGTTCCTCATTTATGTGTGGCTCGATTTGTATTGTAAAGCTTATGCTAGAAAAATACATTTGGTGGATTTAATCAAATAGTATTTAAAACAAGAAAAATCAGAAGTATTTTGGATATATGGTTATAAAGAAATCTTTCTGGTATTTAAATATGGCATTTAATATTTCTGGTAATTTTCTATACCAAAAGAATGGATTCATGGATACTTTGTGAAAAAGTAGATATTTATAAAACACTTAAATTTCTAAATTTTAGTTTTAATTAAATATAATGAATACACACCCTAATATTTGAATAATTGTACATGGATGTTTCCTTACTGTATTTTCATGTTGAACGTTAATGTGTAAGAATGAATTTCATGATCTTCAATAATATTTAACTGTAATACAAACCAGAACCCTTTGCCACCATTAAACCTTAGAAAAATGCAAACATCTATGAAATTCTTATATTAAAGATAATACAGTGTACATATTTTTTATTGCTTTACATACTGATATGATGATTTCCAAGACTATCAGTTGCGGAAATCCATTCAAAACTAACTTATCAAATCAATGCTAAAATTAGCCAGAATGTGAGCTTTAAATGAACAGTATAAATTGAACCCACAATTTGTTTTAAAATATGCATTTGGGATATAAAATAGGCACCCAATTATTAATAATGTTCAAACTGGTAAAAAAAGAAAAGCAATAATAAAACTTCCTGCCAGAAACTTTTTACTTACCTAGGCACCCTCACCCCGTTCACTCAATATTATTTTTACTAGAAACAACCCTACCAAATATAACCCACAAGAAAAATAATAGTTTTGCTTCACTTGCTTTGCCTACAGTGCCAGGGGGATAGATTTAATGATCTTATAGGTCTTTTCAATCTCTCTAATATTTGTGAAATGGCAACCGTCAATGTTGAACAAGAAATTGCTGAAATAGCACAACTTTTTGAAATGGATAATATCTCATAGGACAAGAGCCCAGAAATGGAAAGAACAACCATAAACCTCACTGAACTTCATCTCAACAGGATGCCAACTTTACTCTTCAGCTAATAAAAACAACCAACTTTAAAAATGCTATCTGTCAGTGACTCAAAATCAGCCATTTTGAAAATCTCAGCACAGACTACCGCATATGCGAAAGAGTAAGTGCTCCAAGTGTGTTTATTTTCCATTTTGACTTTGGCTATTGCCTGACCAGTTGGTTTCTAGTCATGTCAGCTTAAGAAGTAGGATCAACTAAGCAGATTAGATTTTATTAAGTTTAGTGTTGAATATTAATTAGACTATGCCTATTTGTTTTTTAATAAAATTATATTCATTTTGATAACATGAAATAGATCTCTATAGAGACAAGAAATATAAGGTTCTTTCACATTTTTCTGGTTAACTGTGCAATTAAAAGCACTCACTTTTTTATTTTCCAACATAGAGTCTGGATTTCTAAATATTATTAAAATTTGACAATTGCTTTTAAAAATGTTGAGGCTGGAGCATAAAGGAAGAGATCCTTGAGAGAAAGAATGCACAGAGAAATGAGTCCAAGTCACTTTTACATTCCCCCTCGGCATTTGACAGTATTTTGTTCCCAATTATTCAGGTTTTTTAAAATTCCTTTTATTGATATATAATAATTTACATGTTTCAGGGATACATTTGTGTGTTACATGCAAAGGATGTGTAATGATCAAGTCAGGGTCATCAGGGTATTCATCACCTTGAATGTTTATTATTTTTATATGTTGACATTATTTCAAGTCCTCTCTCCTAGTTACTCTGAAATATACACACTATTTTTGCTAAATATAGTCACCCAGGCCTGCTGTTAAACATTAGAAGTTACTTCTATCTAACTGTATGTTTATATCTATAACCAACTGCTCCTGTTCCCCCCAACATCTCCACCCACCCCTTCCAATCTCTAGTATCTATCATTGGATTCTCTATATCCATAAAAGTTTTAGCTCCCAGATATGCATTCGACAAATCTTATGTTGTGTAAGGTGAAAGGCAACAAAATCAATCAAAAGTCAGTGAAGGAGCTGAATTCATTCCAATCTTCCAGTGCTGAGAATATGTTAACTAGAATTCAGGACTTATCAAAGAAGAATCCTAGAAATCAGGTCAGGCATGGAAACAGGGTAGAACCAGAGGTGGAAGAGACCTATAAAACTGCAATTCAGTTGGTTCATTTCTTGATTAGATTAAGATGATCATCTTAACTCAGGCAGCCTACCAGAGGATAAGGTGAATGTATCGTCTAGAATCACTTCAATTTTTTTTTTTACGACATCTGTCATTCAGAAAAAAATTACAGATATGTCAGAGTCAAGAGGAAAAAAAAACTATCCAAAATTTCCAGGAGTTATTTTACATACACTTTACAATAACAGATTATCATGTTAAAAACAATATATGACAAAATGAAATATTTCAGTGGAGAACTGAAATCCATAAACGGAATCAAATGAAAATTAGAGAATCACAAAATATCATAAAAAATTTAAAAACTAGTAGATGGGTTTGACCCCAGACTAAACACAGAAGAATGGTTTTGTAAATTTGAAATTATGATGGTAGAAAATATTCAGGCTTAAACAAAGATGAAAAATGATGGAAAATTTATAAAAAGCATGAGACATATTGGAACTGTGAAATAATCTAACATATGTGCCGCTAAAGTCTCAGGAGGGCAGGAAAGAGAAAATGTGAAGAAACGATATTTAAAAGATAATGAAAAAAATTAGTTCTAAAAGTGATAAACGACATTAACTCAAAAATTCAAGAGGAAACATGAACATGAACACCAAGTAGGATAAATGCAAACAAACCACCTCTGGATACATAATCATACAATTTCTAAAAAAAAAAAGGAAAAAGAAAAAAAAGAAAAGCAAAACATTAAACAAAACCAGAGGAGAATAAAATGTATTATCTTCAAAGAAGCAACAAGAAATACAGCTAATTTCTCATAAAAGTGGTAGAAGCCAGTTGGCAATAGAATGACAATTTTAAAGAGTTCAAAAATAGGTGACAACCTAAAATAACATACTCTTGAAGATGATCTTTCAACAGTTCCAGTTAAAAACAGACATTTGCAGACAAACACTGACAAGTTCATTGCCAGAAGACCTGAATTTAAATAAATAAATAAGGTTTCAGGGAGATGAAAAGTTACTCTAGACAAAGACATAAAACTGCAGGAATTAATGAAGAAACAAGATAAAGGTATAGGAAAAAATTAATAAATATTGACTGAACAAAAACACAATAGCGTTTTTATGAAACTTAAAATACATACAGAATTCAAAATCATGACGACAATAGCACAAAATGTGGTGATAGAGGGGAAGTAAATATGTATATGAGTCATTTGTCAAAACTGATGATATGCTAGGCATAAAACCAATCCCTAAATCTTTCAAAGAATAAAAAGTCAATCAGAGTATTTCTGATCATAGCAGAATTAATCTTGAAAGTGATAGAAAAATGTTAGTCTAAAAATCCCCAAATGTTGAAGGTTAGAAAAATTAGAAATAGTAATTGACTAAAGTATCAAGAAGCATTCTCAGTAGATAACAGAAAATATTTTTAATGTATAATAATAAAAATAGACATCAGAATTGTTAAGATGTAGCTTAACTGGGAGAGGGATATTTGTAGTTTTAAATGCATTATATTTGAAGAGTAGAAAGACTAAAAATTTGATAATCTAGATACTGTCTCAAAAAGTTGGATAAGTACAGCAAAAGAAACCCAAAGAAAAAAAAAAAAGGAAGAAAAGAAAGACAGTCCATAAATGAATACAATAGAAAACAAATAAATGGAGACAATGAATGATAAACCAAATCAATTACTTTAAGAAGCTGTGAAATTTATTAATATCTGGCAAGGCTTATCAAGAAAAAGATAAGGTACAGATTCTAAATCACAGGAATGAAAAAGAGATGTACTGACAACTTCTTCAGATCATAAGAAAATATTACAAATAACTGTGACAATAAATTTGGAAATTTAAATAAAAGAAAAATTTCCTAGGAAAACAAAGTTTACCAAAATTGACACAAGAGGTAATGAAACAAACTAAAAATACTTTATCCAATTAAATCCCCTACTAAAAACTTGTAAAAAAAAATAAAATTCCAGGCCTACATGCTTTAACAGTAAATTCTTTCAGTTAAGGAAGAAATAAACCATTCTTACACAAATCCTTTCAGAACATAAAAATAAAGGGACCATTTCCCAAATTAAATTATGAGGTCATTGTAATCATAACACCACAATCTGAAAGGGATATTAAAAGAAATGAAAATTACCTTCCAATTTTACTGATGAACATAGACATAAAAGTCTTAAATAGCATATTAGCAAATTGAATCTAACAACACATAAACAGAATATTATATCATACCCTAGTTGAACTGAACTCAGGAATGCAAGGTTGATTCAAGTTTGAAAATCAGTGTAATTCACCACATTAACAGAATACTACAAAAAATGAGAATTTTATTAAAAGTAGCCAATAATTTGATAAACTGTAATATTCAATAATTTTAACAAATCAACTAGAAACAAACAAAAAAAAAGTCCTAATCTGATACATGATATCCACAAAATCAAACAAGCAAAAAACTTCTAGAACAAACCATGTGTATGGCAGAAATATTGAATGATCCATCCCCAGTGCTGAGAATCAGACAAGGATATTCACCACACCTTTGCTACTTAAAATAAGGTTTGTATATTGATAAAACAGCATCACCTGGAAGGTTGTTAGAAATGTAGACTTTTAGCTGGGAGCAGTGGCTCATGCCTGTAATATCAGCACTTTGGGAGGCTGAAGTGGGTAGATCACTCGAGGCCAGTTCAGAGAGTTCAAGGCCAGTCTGGCCAACAAGGCAAAACCCCATCTCTACAAAAAATACCAAAAAATTAGCTGGGAGTGGTGGCACATGCCTGTAATCCCAGCTACTCAGGAGGTTGAGTCAGGAAAATTGCTTAAGCCCAGAAGGTGGAGGTTGTAGTGAGCTGAGATCTCACCACTGCACTCCAGCTTGGGTGACAGAGCGAGACTCTATCTCTAAATACATACATAATACATATTTAAAAAGAAATAAATGTAGAATTTCAGGTCCCACTACAGACCTACTTAATCAGAATTTGGATTTCTGATTAAGAATATGAGAAAGACTTCTTCACGCCACTTCTATTTATTATCGTACAAAAAGCCTTATTAATTGTAATAAGACAAGATCAAAAAATAACCTGTGCCGGGGCTGGAAAGGAAGAAAACGATATGATTCAGGGCAAACTGATAATGTATTTAAAAAACTGAGGACACTACAGATAAACTATTAGAATTAGTAAGTGAATTTATCAAAGCTGCTAGATGCAAGTTTGATATATATACATCAGAAGTATTTCTATATACTAGTAATAAGCAATAAAAATGTTAAATTTAAAAATGATTCTTAGGAAAAAAACTAAGAAAAATGTTCTCAACACTGACAGCTACAACACATTATTGAAGGAAATTATTAATGCTTAAACAAATGCAAAGATATACCATACCTGCAAAGTTGTTAAAGAAGCTTCCACATCCCCTTCCACTTTGCCCTCTTCTATATGGTTGATGCCAGATGTGGCCCTGGGATCATCCTCTTTCAGTTTCCAGAAAATAGAAGGAAGTTTAGCAAAAACTGTTCTCTTCTAAACAGATAAAGCTAGTAAATTAATTGCAGGTCCAAACCTAGCTGCAAGAAAGGTGTAAAGTATTGTCTTTATCTGGATTGCCATAAATAAGCTTTAACTCTATTACCATGAACAAACAGGAAAAGGGACAAAAGATCTTGGTAGGTAACTAGCAGGCTCTGTTACAGGTATGCAAGTAATATGGTGAGCAGAATCTACCAAACTACTATAGATCAAGATGAGAAATGAACAGAGCTCACGTTGTGGAGATAACAGCCTTGCACAAGGCCTATCATTAGCAGAGCCTATGTCTTCTTTTCTCATTCTTCTTCAATGTGAAAAACTTTACGAAATATAGTGTTAAGTTTTTCTAATAGGCTTCCTGCTTCTTTCCCCAACAACAGTATCTATCATGAAATAAATGATATATGAATAAATTTTGAGATACAGTAGAATTTACTTAATAAAGTGCTAAAGCAAATATTTTTTGGGACATAAAATCTTTTATAAGACTAACCATTTTCTAAGGTAGCTTTTCAAAATGTCAATTTTTTTCTGTATTAGTTTTGCTTGTAAACTGTAAGTTATTTTGAAAATGGGTGCCTTTAACTACACCAACCATTAGGGTCAATAGGGTGCTATTAAGAAGTTGGCAATGAGAGATGGTCATTGATCAGAGATTAATGAATAAGTCAATCTACCAGTTAGGATTAAGTTTTACTGATAGTAACAGTGACCTCAAATAATTGTATCTTTAACAAGATAGAAATTTACTTACTTTCACACAAAGGAAGGCTTCCCCATATTTCAAGTATTAAATATATTCTTAAAATCAAATCATGTTCGGAAGAAGTCCTCTCAAACTCTAGCTGTCATATTGTCATTAGAGACAGAAAAGAAAGAGAAGGGATAAATGGCCAAAGTGTCCCTTGTGTCCCAGCTGCCTCAACACTCCCAATGAAAGTTTCCTTAAAGTAGTGATTTCTCCTTGCACAATGATGGGGTTCAGGACAAGCCACCCTGTAATGAGACATTTGAGAAAGCAGCAGAAGCAAGAAGGTCGCTCTCTCCTTCCCTGTAGCCTTTTCCCCTGAAGCATGTAATAAAACCTAGGAAAGATTTTCTGATGTTTCTCCAAGCAGGTCATAAGACCCTCAGGCCAGAGGTGACTTCCTGATAGGCAGAGTAAAGGAACATCCTCATCGCAAAAGACACAGGGTCCCAGGGAAGAATCTGAGTAAACGGGCCTTGCTGAGTTCTCCCCAGTTTATTACTGTCCAATCATACTTTCTAAAATCTACAATGTTTGCATAGCTGTCTACTTCTTTATCAAACCTAGTAAAAAAAATACACAAATTTACCAGTTCTTCAAGTCTTCATTGCCTTCTGAATCTTCCATGTGATGTCAAACTTACATTAAGTACATTTGTGTGCCTTTCTCTTACTGGTCTGTCTTTTAGTATAGGGGCCTTAGCCATGAATATAGAATGGATAGATATCGCCTCGTGGCATTTTGGCTGAGATCAGGTCTAGGTTATTGGGCCCCGAACCATGACACGTAATTCAAGGGACATAGCTTTTGGCACAGTGGGAAGCTCCTTTTCTTAAACAGCCTCCTGAATGTGTGAGGATGAAAGGAACATGCATTAGTTGGGTTCTCTTAGAAGCAGATTCCAAGATTATGTGTGCAAGATTGTTACTGGGAACAGCCTGTGTAAGGGGGAAAGGGTGGAGGGAACGGAAGGAGGTGCAGAGATCTGCAGGTGTGTTACCCTCAGGAAGAAGAAATCTCTTCCGGAAGGAGGACTGGAAAGACAGAGTGTCTGACTCAGACGGTTTGAGGAAAATTTTGGGTAGGCCAATGGGAGGTTCTTGAGACATAGTTACCTGTCAGAGGAGTCCCCTGTGAAAAAGACCCCCAATTTTACAGAAGCAGGCCTGCTTTAGCATCTGCACCGTCCTCTCCCTGACTCCCATTAAGAGCAGCCTTGAGAAGTGTGGGTTTAGCGATGGATCCAGAACACAGCCACTGGTGCTATCTGTTCCCACTCTCCCTGCAGCAGGAGATCTGAGTGGCATGTGTTGATGGCCACAGCTTCTACTTTGATTTAAAAGCCTGTTTAATCTACTTCCTTCTCCAGTTGAGATGAGATATTAGTAGGAAGAGCACTGGGAAGGGTGCAAGATAAAGAACAGTAATAAAAACAAACATTTTCAAATTCATAGAAGGAAAAAACAAAACTAAAATATCATCAGGTCTTTTCAGATCCAGAAAAGGAATCCTTTTGCCAAATAACTCTCTGTGCAGATAAGCTCAACCAAAGGGGAGCGCAATCAAGAAATGACTTGGCTGGGACAGGGAAATCAAACTCAGAGCACTCCCCCTGTATTGTTCAAATGCTGAGAGAGAGGAGAAAGGGAACTGAGAAAGAAGAAATGGTCATATCATCTTTCCTTTGGGAGTAGTTCCAAGCTGTGCTATCACTCAAGCACAGGAGAAGCAAGTGACACTAAAGAGAGTGCATACAGGCACATGCACCACAACTTCTCACTTCCTAATTAGCTTATTTATATTTTTAAAATGATAATTATGTTAGTCATCTATTGCTGTATAACAAATTTCTCCAAGAGCAGCTTAAACAACAAATATTTATTTTCTTTTTTTTTTTTTTGAGATGGAGTTTTGCTCTTGTTACCCAGGCTGGAGTGCAATGGCGCGATCTCGGCTCACCGCAACCTCTGCCTCCTGGGTTCAGGCAATTCTCCCGCCTCAGCCTCCTGAGTAGCTGGGATTACAGGCACGTGCCACCATGCCCAGCTAATTTTTTGTATTTTTAGTAGAGAAGGGGTTTCACCATGTTGACCAGGATGGTCTCGATCTCTTGACCTCGCGATCCACCCGCCTCGGCCTCCCAAAGTGCTGGGATTACAGGCTTGAGCCACTGCGCCCGGCCCAAACATTTATTTTCTAAAGGTTTCTCAAGGTCAGGAATCCGGGAGGGATTGGCCAGTTTCCACTCAGGGTTCCTTACTAGGTTGCAGTCAGGTTGTTGACCAGGGCTACAATTATTTGAAAGAATTGGAGAAGCTGCTTCCATGCTCTTTCTGGCAGCTTCAGTTGACTCCATGTGAGCCTCTCTATTGTCTTACACAATATAACATCTGGCTTTTTCCATAGTGAATTATTCAAAAAGAAAGAGTGCCCAAGAAAGAAGCTATAGGCTGGTCACAGCCTAACATTGGAAATGACCTCCCTTCTGTCATATCTTAATTGATAAAAGTGAATCACAGTCCACAGTTAAGGAGAGGTGAACTAAGGACCATCTCTTAAGGAAAGTAGTAGCAAAGAGTTTGTAGAAATATTTTAGAACCATATTGGTCATACATTTACATGTTACAAAATTTAAAAGATGTCGACCTTCCTGGAAGGAGCCCCAGTTCTACCAAGGAAGCCTGGTTTTCTTTCTTGGTGTTATCAGTATTTTTATGTGTTCTAGAAAGAGTCTATGAGATCACAAACACTGAGAAAGGCTTAATTCCTTCGAAAGCTTTGCCCACAGTGACTAGAGCCCAGTGTTCTTAGCTTTGGTCAAGTCAGATCAGCACTCCTTCCTGTGTAGGGTGTGAAGATGCTAAGGAGGAATGACCTTTCTTTCCCATTCCTTCTCTTATAAAGTCTTGCCAACCTTAACCCACTTATAATTGTAGCATATGCCTTTTAAAACACTGGTTTAACAAAAGCTATTTAATGGTAGCTGTTTTCCCCACTTTGGAATGTTTTTTGTAGCTTTCTCTCACCATTAGCCAGTGCCTCAGGCAGTTACTAGAAAGAACTAAATTGAGTTGCTTTTGTTATTAGCTGTGGTTTGTAAGTCAGCTTACTGCTTCTAAAACAATTATAGAAGGAAGCTATTATTTTAAATAGAAATTTGAGTATATTTAGAAGAAAATGAACCATGTATTTTCTTCTGGCTGCTCCTCCAATCTCATTTCGAAGACTAAAAAGATTGCAAAGAGAGAGAAAGGGATGGATGGAAAGGAAGAGAAAATGAGAGCTGAAGAAGGAGCCATGTGGAGACAAAAGCTTAAAAGGAGCATGGCAATGCTCGAAGATTGAGGAAATGCATTGTAAATTTTATAGAACATACAGTTAAATTATTTTATTATCTTGAGATTTCCCGAAATGATAGGATTTGTGCTGACATACTATGCCAATTCATATTAGCCTAAAGAGATCAATTCTGAATAGCTTCATCCTTTTCGAGATACGTAATGTGTTCGGTGACTATTCCTGGGGAAATGATGCAGGATAATAAAATCATTGTTTGCGTATGTGTGCTTGTCCCCGATATGTCACAAATGGTTTTGATTTCCAGTTTTTTAAAAAGAAATCTGAACTGAAACTAAAATATAAAGCATGTTTTCTTTGACCTAATTCTTATCTAGCAAATAAAAGATTGATTTTTTCCCCTATGGCTCTAGTATTTGAACATCATGGATATGTCCCTTGAGTCAGTAGTTCAGGGAGATTTCATGTAAGTAATGCTTAGAAAGAAATCATAGTTTTGTTATTTTGCTAAAGCTATATTCCAATTTAAGCTAACTTGCATCCTTTTTGAAAATAGGTTGAGTACAATTAAACTGGTAAGTAGTTTGGAATTTTACAGATTTTAGCAGGCAAGCTTAAAAAATTGCCCTCAGTGGCATGTTGATGATCGAGCTTCAATTACTATGGTAGCCTTTCAGCCACATGTTCCTCCGGTTCTTTATGGAACAACTACACAAGTTAAAATATAACCCTATACAATTAAGCATAATTAAAGAGCAGCTACACCGTCAAAATGCAGAGTTAGCCAATCATTCTGAGAATATTATAAGTGTGAGATGTCCATCTATTGCTAACATACATTCCAAATTAAATTTTTCTAAAACAGTTTTAGTTATAAATACTCCAAGTTCAAAAACTCCCAATGGCTCACCACGTACTTAGCCTGGCATTCCTGGTGCTCCAGTTTCTGATCTTGACCTATTTCTCCAGCCTCAGTTCTTACAGTTCTGCTCCCCTGCTGCCCCCGACCTCCCACCGTCCAGTTAAAGTGCATCTCTGGGGTCCCTGGATACCAGTTCCCACAAAGAGCAAACGTGTTCCACTGACCTGTTCGGTCTCACTGTGCTTTCAGGTTGCCTAACCCTGGATACAGGATAAAAACGACTTGTGAGGCTTTATTCCTTTGTTTTCTGGTCTTCTATTATGTAGGATTTAAACCTAAACACAGAGATAAGGACACCAAGGATACTCGTAAGTGGGTATTTGTCTTGATTCTGATGCTAGCCGGTAGAGGGATCTATGCATGATCTCTGTGGATCTAAGCCTGATAACTGTGGTGACAGCATACTGAGTGGTACCAAATGCAGCTAAAGACCTTTCTTTTCCCAATAGTTGGATGATAAATGCCCATAGCTACCTAGAGTCCACCTACAGATGATAAGATCACTTCAAGAAGGCTCTTGAAAGCCATCTCTAAATTAGAAATTGAAGGTCAATTTTTCAGGTTCATTTTTCCTATATCACATTGAAATTACTTCTTATTATTTCAGGAGGCATTTCAGCTGAAAAGATGCTATAATACATTTAAGATGACAGGTGTAGCCTATATAAACTGTTATTATAACTTATTTCTCAGGGTGGAATTGGAAAATAACATGACCTACTCACAGACTACTACTCCCACATTTCATAAATTCTCCTAAGACTCTGCAAGCTGGAAAGGACTTTGCCCTCAGTCCATTAACCCAGTGATTCCCAGAGGCACAAGTCCAAGAAGGTGTTCCCGAGTGCACCCCGGGCTTCAAGGCCCTTTTAA